CATCTCGAATACTGGAAGGGGGGCCGGCCCGTGGCTCACTCAGTAGAGTGCGGGGCTGATAACACCAAGGCCACGGGTTCGGATCCCATATAGGGATGGCTGGTTGGCTCACTGGGTGAGCATGGTGCTGACAACACCAAGTCAAGGGTTAAGATCCCCTTACCGGTCATCTTAAAAAAAAAAAAAAAAAAAAAAAAGGCTAGTTCTGGGGCTGGCTGGCTAGCTCACTTGGTTAGAGTATGGTGCTGATAACTCCAAGGTCAAGGGTTCAGATCCCCTTAGAGAGACCACATAGTGGCTAACCATAGGGATTCTCTATAAGAAGGAATTGGAGACAGGGGGACTTCTCAGAGGATTTGGGCTTGTGCTGGTTAGTTTTTTGTTTGTTTGTTTGTGGCGGCTGACCAGTAAGGGGATCTAAAGCCTTGACCTTGGTGTTACAAGGCAATGCTCTAACCAGTTGAGCTAACCAGCCAGCCATGTGCTGGGTGGTTTTAAGAAGAGTTGAAGCCATTCTAGGGTGCTGCTGTCAGGAAGCAGAGAGCAGATTGGTGATTGGGTATTTCGGTGATTTTTATCTCAGAGGTGGGAGGATGGAAGTGGGTTTGGAGCTGTCATTGTAGAAGCAGCAGTCGTCTGTGTTAGTCGGGAGAGGAGAATTTGTATTCATTTTTGTGGTTGCAGAGTGTCCTTGTCTCTATCTTGGTTCAGACATGGCCACAGAGTGTCCTTGTCTGATCATTGTTTATACTGAGCGATCATTGTTTCTGTTTAGTGAGGAACATCACAGCCCAGCTGTCAGCTGCGGTGGACTGCTTTCACTCCCTGTTGTGGGGATCTGTATCTCCAGGTAAAGTTTGCCCTGGACAAGTTTCTCCAGAAATCACCAATTCACATCAGGCACCTGGAGTCCACCAGGGACAGCAGTGACCCACCATCTGGGTAGGAGGCTGAAAACACTAAGGGAGAGTATCCCAAACTCTATTTCTTGGGGTTGTTGAAGGGTATTACCCAGAAATGGTGGAGAGTTCCACCATCAAAAAAAAAAAAAAAAAATTGGAAAATGCTGGATTAAGCAAAAATGGGCATGTTTTAGATTGCAGGGCTTCTCAGAGGCTTGACCATGCTTATGTGCATGGCGCGTCTGCAAGAGCGATATCATGTTTGGCATTCTTTGAACAGAGATAGAATCAGAGACATGGGCAGAGACAGAGAGACAGAGACAAAGAGGGGGCAGAGGCAGAGAAAATGACAAGAACAGAGGCAAAGATGGAAAAAGAGAGAGAGATGGGGACAGAGAGACAGCGAAAGGAACAGAGATAGAAAGACAGGGACAGGGAGAGAGAAAATGGAACAGAGATAGAGATAGGGACGGAGAGGGACAGGGGCAGAGAGAGACAGGGCCTGAGAGAGGCACAGGAGGGGACGCAGGGCCGGGCCGGGGCAGCGCGGGCGAGGCCGGGCGCAGACAAAGGCGCGCGGCGTGGCCGGGGTGGCCGGGCCGGGACAAAGGC